TCGATTATTCCAATTTGTAGATCTTCCGTTTACGTTTTATAAAAAATAGAGATAGCACCTGTTTTTATGAAAGGCTATTTTATGGTAAACAGATCCCAATTCAAAGGGATAAGGCCGAAACGTACTCAATAACTCTTTACACTAGGCTGTTAAGTAAGACTTAAGAGCTGCTAAGTTTTCCTTAACCAAAAATGCGTGTGTGAAGGCCTAAGTAGAATCTCAAGTAACTGTACTTTACATCTCATTAAAGACGGGAAAGTTGAAACGATTCAAGAAAGTTTCAAGTGACTTGAAAATCATCCTTAAAACCGACTTGGCGAACTTTCGGTTTCTTGAGCTTTGAGAAAGGGGAAGCATGTCAATCAATCTTAATTACGTTGCGTGGGAAAATAGGCTTAAGTAAACCTGAAGTAAAAAGATAGGTTGTGTATGAAGCTTTCTTTAACTTGAAGAATTAAAAATTTTCTTATCTTGAAATACTTCTTGGCTTATTTAGGCTCTAGTTTAAAGACCACCATTCTTTCATTATCTCTTTAGCCTGCCCATGACGCCTATCAATAATTCTTCCCCATGTTCAGTTACCATGGCAACCTGTATCGCACATGCTAGTTATCTAACTGTTAAAACTACTTAAGACTCATTAGCATAATAAACTGAGGAGGTTGTCATTTTTGCAGCTTGAACCAATGGGTTATATATTGAAAAAAAATTAATCTTTGTCAATGCCAGCATTTAATTTTTAAGGTACTCTAGTGATCACGAAATAACAAACTGGAAAAAAACTGGACGCACGTAGGCTTCCAGTAGCCACACAAACCCCGTGAACCGAAAGACAAACGAGAAAATGTACTTTATTTTACTTAAGTTTTCTTACGTTGAGGAAAGCGAGATCCATGTGGGAGCGACGTTTGTTTTAAACATTTAACCAAAAATGGAGCTCACATTAAAGTACTAGCCGAAACTTGACACACAGTTACCGCTGGTCGACGAATTATTACGCAAAATAACGATTTTCACAGCTTGAGACACCGAACAAAAACACTGCACTTGACTCAGTTATTTCTAATCATTTCGTTCTGAACTTTTATTGAAACATTTCCGTTTAAATCCTGATATTTTCAGCATTTTGGAGTAAAGTGTAAACCACATGGCCACACAAACAGAGAGTGGTCTACCTGTTTGGCTAACTAGCTAAATAATAATACGGGTCCGACTCATCATCCGGAATTTTTCAGCTAAAGCCGTCACCACACAGCTGCCTAATTGCTAAATCGTGGCTGCCATAGCAACGTAATGACGCCATTTCTTTATTTCATGACGGCTTTTGTGCCGATGACGTTCGATCAGGCCTTCTTCTTTCTTTTCCTTTTACTGTTTTCGGGGAAGAGCGACGCCTGATCGCAGGTTATCACGTAGGTTGGTATTTATTTTGGAAAACAACAAATCGATCCGGCGCAATTTGCGAATGGACAAAGGAAGGAAGGAAGGCTGATAATACAGTACAATACAGTCAGGAATATATAGATATTTTTTTGTTATGATATTTCGAAAGGCACGGCCTTTCGTCTGCATGGTCTTACATACAAATAACGACGTCAAGCTAAATGAAGAATAGCGTTCACGATATTATAACAAAGTGTCAAAATAAAAACTGAAGGAAAATGGTGAACGTTGAACCGGTATATGAACACAAAAACCGTTGAAGTCGTTATTCAAAAGAAATTTGAAATGTAAAAATAGTATAAATAAACACAAATGGGAGGACGGTATTACATTTCATCTTTCTTATTTTAATACCCAAGGATTCATGAGTCTTTTCATGCTTTTCTAGCTTTTCACATACTGTCTCTATTGGATTTTATGATTTCAAGTGGAATAAGTATAGCTAGTGTCGTTAGCGGGTTGATCATTTATTTAGTAAGAACATATTCTGAGACTATGGTGGGTTTGGAGATTTTAGTACACTAGCGTTTTGGTATCTCTTTATTGCAATTCAATTAAGTTCATTTTCCCACAATATTTAAGTTAGTGTTAAGTTACAGCCTTTTAAAAAGTAAAACCAACACAAAGTCCAGTTACCTTTTAGGCGTGTTTGAAAGTTTAATTCTGCAGGTTTAAAGGGAAGGCGATCACCGAGTTCAAAATAAAAGTGCCGTGAACAGTCTTAAAAGGGTGTCTAAGAGATTTGGGAGATAATTCAAAGATTGTTCACCGCACTATTGAGAATTTAGGTCCATCAGTTAGATAGTTTTTTAATTGTCACTATTATCGAAGCCCTTGCATTCCAAGTTGAGACCAACTTACGCATGGTACGGCAGTGCAACCGCTGCTTAATACATCGGAGAAACTAAACGAAGACTTAAAGACTGTTTCAACGAACAACTCAGACCAGTTGACAACCCAGTGGCGGATCCAGGGGAGATGCAGGGGGCCCGGGCATAGAGACCGTCCCACCCCCTTATCTCAGGGTCTGGATGACCGCCCCCCCCCCCCCCCCCCCCCCCCCCCCCCATCTCCCCCTCCCCCCCCCCCCCCCCCCCCCCCCCACACCCACCCACAACCCCCCACACACGCCACACTCTCTCACACTCCCTCTATACTCACAATTACCACCTCTATTTTTTTTTTTTTTTTTTTATCTAAAAAAAGAGCTACAAACGACTCTACCGAAGACATCCGTGCGCGTGGCCGCACCGGGGGGGGGACCGGGGGGAAGGTGTGGGGCCCGGGCCCGCAGCCCCGCCCCCCCCCCTTACTCGGGGGGTTGGGCCCCCCCCCCCCCCCCCCCCCCTTTATCTAATGGTTTGGATCCGCCCCTGCAACCCAAGAAACAAACAATTCTCCTGCAAGTAAATCGACCGTTTTTCCTCACTAGAGACTAATTTTGACATCAAGCGTCCTCTGTTATTTTTAATTGAGATTTTTAGTAATACCTTATTTTAGTTGCATTTCTAGCGATTTCAGACAATCTTAATCGGATGAGCATGAAACCGGACCCCTTACTAAGCATGCTCATACGCGTCTACCTAAGGGCCTCTTAAAAGGAGCTGTATCACAAAATTCAGACAAGTTAGGTAATTACAAAATGTCCGTTAAATTAAGAGAAACATAATGAAAAATAACCGCTTAAAACATTAAAAGAAGGGTAAAATAACACAACAGAAACAACAGATGCCACGGTTGGGCAAAAATGAAGAAGATTGAAACGGATTGAAATAGGGTTTTTGAAAACTGTTCAACCTAACAGTTTTTAAAAGTTGATCTCTGCTGTTCTCTGCTGTTTGCAACTTCAAAAATAATGCCCAGGAGACATATTTGTTTGTCTTGAATCTCTGATTTTGTCATTTAGATGTAATTTATTTACTTACTTTACGTTCCATAGAGGTTGAGGCCGAGTAATTGGCAAAATTAAACAAAATGAACTGGACTGCTGTGACAGAGCTCCCTTAATCTCTGGCTTTAGCGCCTAAAAACCAGGCATCTTTTCAAATTTATTGCCTCGAGTTTGATCGCGGATCCTTACGAAATTTAAGCATTAGTAACTTAAAAGAGTGCATAAGAAAAGGCATTTCGCTATCTCTTACTTACAAAGGCTGTGGTCGCTTTTATAACTACGTACTGGACGTAGTTACACGAGAATGGTCACGGTATTGATAAACAAGACTAAAAGAGTTGTGGGTATCTTGATCTTGATTAAATACACTCGCGCGCCCACTTTACATTAGATCTCTACGGAGACCATTTTGCTAGAGAAGTTTAAGTTCCGTTTTGAGACTTGAACGTCCAGTATAAGACAGACGCTCAACGTCTGATGACTTTACAATGACTTAAACGTTATCTTTTAAGTGTGTCATTCAGGTGCATCGCTGATGAAATTCAGTTCTATGATGATATCTGATATCCCCTGCTGTATAATAAGCCTTGCTTCTTTCAGCTGATGAGATTGCTTGATACCTCTCCTTCATGACTCTACAAGAGCATTTTTTGTATGGATAAAGGCACTACAAGTACTAGAAGTGACTTCAGCACAGGATTGAAGTAAAACAGCAAGTTGCTGTTTTAAATCGCACTCTATTGCAAATCGCACTTTATTGCAAAATTCAAAATCTGAATTTCAAACCAACAAAATCCAGATTTCCTAATGGAAAGTACACTTAATAATTTTCAGTTATTTAAAAAGTACATGTATGTCATGCTATAGTTAAAAAATCACACCCCTAGCCGTATGCCTCAAGAACTGCTCACTCAAACACTTGGGTGGCCCCATGTGAGGGAATCCAAGACAGTCTTGGAATCAACGCTGTGGATTCTGGATTTTAGGTACTGAAGTCCGATTCTTTGTCAGTAGAACTCCGATTCTGGATTCTTATCATTATTGGGATCTCGGATTCCTTTAGCTGTTTCCCGGATCCTAACGCCTAAGATTCCGGATTCCAGATGCAAAAGTTTCCCGGATTCCGGATTCAGATTTTGGAATCCAGATTCCAGAATCCAGATTTTTTGGTTTGGCTTAATGTACTATGTTAGCAGTACGAAGACCTCCTGACTGTCGCTCAAACGTCGTTTTCCATGGAGCTTCACGGTGTACTGGCGAAGAAAAAGAGTGTGACGGTGACCAAGGCATTGGCAGACGTTCACAGACGTTGGTCACAATCTTTTCTCATTACTGGCTTTGTTTACGTACCATAGTGGTCAGAGTTTTTCTTTTTAGCGCTAGAAGGTTGTAACCGAAAGAAATTTCAACGATCAACTTTCCACGAACGACTGAAATTTCTCCTTTTTGGTTGACAGAGAGTAGGTTGGGCGAATTTTATAGCGCAAAGTAAAGTAAAAGAAAAAAAAATAGAATCATGAATTTGTCTTTTACAAATAATCTATAGTATCATTTCATCAGTTTGATTGTTATTTATTTGCGCCTTTTTGTTTACAATGAAAAATCATTTTCGCTAGATGAGCAGCTGTGCATGTACCTTACACATAACTTCTTTTCCGACGTATATTTAGTCACCTAAATCTACCACGAAAATTGCCGATGCACACTCGTTCCATATTGTTGCAAAAAAGGTAAGACGCGTTGTTTGCTTATCCTACAAACTATATTAAAAACAATAAAACAAATAACATGGATCTGATTTCTTCCGACATCTTTAAGATGACATGGTGCCGGCAGTCAGCATTCTGAAGTCTTTACTTCACAGCCATTTAAACACTTTTTCAAGCACAAGTCAACACATCACACTGTTAACGCGTCCGTCTTGAGAAGGCTTACTCAGGCAAGTGAGCAATTAAGGCTGCCTAATGACTGGTTTGGCTCAATGTACTATGTCAACAGTACAAAAGCCTCCTGACTGTCGCTCAGCCATAGTATCCAATAGAATTACACGGTGGTGGACTGGGAAGGAAAAAGAACCTGAAGGTGATCGAGGTGTCGGCAGGCGTTGAAAGTGTCTCTCTGATTCACAAGAAATCGTTTCCGGACCCTTTTGGTTGATGGGAGAATTGCCTGACACACACAAACAAACGGGTTGACTATAGCCTCGTTCAATTCCATGTTGAACGATGTCAGCGCCCAGTAGTTCTTCCTGTGGGGATACGCGCATTCCAACCAGCTTATCGACCAATAGTAGTTCAAGAAAAGTAACAATTGCAGTCCATACGGAAACAGCTACAATCGCAAGTGCCTGTACTCCCAAAAAACTCCAAGGACCACCCTTAAAGATCCCGACTCGAAACGCCTGGAACTCCTTAGAAAGATTGTCATCGACAATATCTTTCTCAGCAAACAGGCCAACAGCCAAGAGCCCCCAGACTGAAGCAAAGAGGTGGATTGGAACACAGCCAACAGGGTCATCGATTCGGAGTCGATCAAGAAGAGACCATCCAGGACATGCTATTAGAGCACCCACTGCACCAATGAGGATTCCTTCCCAAGGACGAGCCACAGTGCATATTGCTTCAAATTGAATCAGCAAAAAGTTGATCAATTTTAGACCATCAAATCAGATTCATTGCTTTATTAGTATCTTCAATTAATGTAAAGACCTTTGATATTCGTCCTTAGTTTCAAGATGGCGACCACTTATCGTTAAAACAGGCCATGATTATACAATTTACTAGCTCCCTTTGGCTTTGATGGTCATTGGCAATGACTTAATTGCAGGCGAGTATCAAAATGGTGTCATCCGCTCTCGTGCTCAAAGTGGGAGTGGGAGCGGATTACTTTATCTTTAAAAATTTGGTATCTCATGAAGCCAAAAACGATTGATTGTCGTGTGATTTTCCCTCTGAACAAGAACTCTTGCACTGCTCGTGCAAGAGAAGCCCCCCAGGTTTCCAGTTTTTTGCAGTCTTCGTGTTCTTGAAGGAAAATGGTATAGCAACGTCGGGAAAACTGCAAAGTAGTAGCAAATTGAAGACAACAAAAGGCCCAGGCAAAACTATACTTATTACTCATAAAAAGCATAATGACTAAAGCATGTTTAACAGGACGTTTGTTGAGATGAAAGCTATGGAAAGTCTTCAGAGCAAACTGGTTTACAAATAAACGTACGTAGAATAAAGTGTATTTCCCTTTTTGACAAAGTAAGGTACTTGTTTGAGTGTAGCTCTTATCACAAGCGTGATTCTTTATTTTGGGTAAATAGAGGGGGAGTAGTGGGAAGGGATGTTAATAGACGGCAAGGAGTAGTAGTAGGGAGGGAGGGAGCAGTGGGTGGGGGTTAAGTAGTGGGAGGGTAGGGAGTAATAGCTAGTATGATTAGCAATCTTTTGGATGAACTACGAGCCATTTGAAAAATTTTCAGAGTGCGTGAGTTTTAAAACCCAGTACAAGCGCCTCAGGTTATACACAGTCATTAACCCAACCAATTTCCTTTTAAGAGGTTGTCGATAATGTATATCTCTAGTCATTACACAATTTAAGAAAATCATCTTTATCAGTAGACAGTAAAAAAGGACTTACTCAGTTAATTTCTAAAGTATATCAGTTCTTATTTACTCACTAACCGGTGATGGACACGAGACCTGATATGATTCCAGTGACGAAGCAAGGTATGTCCAATTTGTTTTTGTAGACAACGTAACTAAAGAGTACAAACAATTGAAACTAGCCTTACAACCAATCATGCAAGAAAACAGGCAACTGCGAGTATCCTCAATCAAATAAATGAGTGGATAAAACTTAATAAAACATCGTATAAGAATAAAAGTTTTGGAAACGTAGGTATCTCGAACAAATATTTATTCAGTTTTATGGAACATATTTGTTAAAAATCCCTAGGGTTTTTAACAAAACCCATAAAAAAATCCCTGGACCAAAAGTTGACCAAAAAAAATTTACCATGTTGAATTTCCGAACCTTAAAAATCTCCATATAGTATTAAATGATATAACACGAAAATAGAAATTAGCCTACGTAGCAGGCGTCGAAAGAGTTTGGGGATTGGGAGGAAGGGAAAAAGGGAGGCGGATTGGGGAGAGAAAAATTCCGGATTCGAAAATTTCAGATATAAAAGATAATCCTTCGATCATCCCCGTCACTTGAAATCCACAAACCGCCTTCCGCCCCCCTCCCCCCCTTCCCCTTACTCCCCCACTGGGCCTAGACTACGAATAGTCCCTCACTTTCTTCAGGGATAGTTAAGCGAGAAAAAACGCGAGAGCACTTAAAATACGTGCCTTGCTTCCCCTCGCGTGCGCCGATTTTCACGTGCACTGTGACTGGACAGTTTTTCATTGACACTGAATTACTTTGGACCAATTTGAAGCAAAAGGTAATTTAATGATGACACTTTATGATAGGGTCTAGCTATCGAAAATATATAAAATGTCAGCAAGTCCACAGCAACAAACCAATGAGTGGTGCCAGACCTGCCAGTTGTAGACCTGGATCAGTACAATTAACCTTGTAGAAAAATGTGAAACGGCAAACTGATCCTTACGGCAAGGCGATGAAGAAGTAAACAAAAGAATAAAACAAAAAATATATTTAAACAAACTGCCCAATATTTCGGTTTGAAAACAAACCTCCTTCAGGGGCTAAAAGAAAAATGAAAATAAAACTTTTTCTAGCTATCGATCCTGGACATATCTGTGAGCTTTGGGAGGAACTTCCCACGTACCTGTAGGCGGTTCCAACAATTCCACCTCCAATAGCTCCGTTTATCGTCAAGACCGCTGACCTAGTGCAAACAAGTTTTTACGTAAATTGAATTATTTGATATTGCTCTTTCCCCTTCCCTATTCAATACTTGCTCATCACTAAGAGGAAGGTTACCATCAGAAACAAAACTGGTATAAAAAGGAAATAAAGAACGAAAATTCAAATATATATATATTATTAAAAGGATGAAGTAACTAGCTTAACTGGAATAAAATACTACAAAACTCTCTCACTAATCAAGAACTGAAGATATACCAAGAGTGTTCTTTTACATCATTGTATTCTTTTCTTTTTTCTGGTAAAAATGTGTAAAGTTTGGGTTAGCTGACCGCAAGAATGAAAAAGAGGCAAACTCGGTGTGGGTAATGTTTTGGTATAACTGAACCTGCACGGCTGCGATCGGCTAGAAATTTGCGAGCTAAGCATCAATTTCAAGTATGAGAACACTCAAAAGGCCAAAGCAGGAAAACAGCCATGTTGACGAAATCCTGCATGACTGGCCTTGAGCCACTAATAAAGAAACAAACACTAACTAGAAAAAAATAAGGCAGATTTAATTAACCGTTAAGATTGAAATAGTTCAAAATACTTCACAATACGTGTTAGTGCGTATTCTGCAAAATAAAACCACATAAATTATCTCCAGGAAAATGTATATGTAACACACAAAACGTGATAAGTTATACTTTAAGAGACTTGATTTATACGATCCGCGTATTTCGGTTGCTAGAAGAGCAGACGTTTTAACAAGTTCAGGAGAGATCTCGCTGTAGATAGGTAACAGCTGAAGGACTCTAAAACCTCTTGCAAGTGTGATGACCAATAGGTGGAAGTATGATTAAAAAAAGGGCTCTTTATACCGTAAAAAAAAAGGTGTGAAGAAGCGGGGAATCAGGGGAAGGGTGAAAATGCCTAGCAAAACATTATGTACCTTAAAATTCGGAAAGTTTTGTGCGGTACTAGAAGAATGAGAAAAGTCTTGAAAATACCTTGAAGCAAGCTTCCATCTCATGCCAGTTATCCCAAATGTACTTCCGCAGTTGAAGCCCAACCATCCCCACCACAGCATGAAAGTCCCTAAGAGCACATTTGTCGGTGAAGCCATTTGTTTTGGAGGAGAAGTCTTGTCGAATCGCCCGCTTCGTGGCTTTAGCATCATCGTCGCCACTAAACCGCTTACTCCGCCAACCAAATGCACAGCACTGCACCCAGCAATGTCCACTGCGCCCATTGTATGGAGAAAACCGTTTTCATCCCAAATCCAATGTGCTGGGAAGCTGTATGTCAGAGTGTTCAGGAATGAGTACAAGATGTAGGCTTTGAGCTTGATTCTTTCCGCCATTGCACCAGAAACAATGGTGGTCGCTGTAGTGGCGAATGAAAGCTGGAAAAAATACTTGGAATACACCTGACCCATTCTGCTTCCCTCTGCGTCTGTTAAGAAATAACCCAATCCACAAAATGGATTCCGTCGCTCTACGATGCCGAAACTGAACGCAAATCCAAAAAGCCAATACGAGAATCCACCAAAAATAACGTCCACAGCGTTCTTTACCATGATGTTCGCCTCATTTTTCGTGGAAGCCATCCCGGATTCTAGGAGACCGAATCCTGACTGCATTGTAAAAATGGTAAATGCATTTGTCAAGATCCAGGTTGCATCATCATGGTCAACAGTAGTGTTGTTACCAGTTTCTAGTCCGGTACTGTACATTTATAATCTCTATCCGAAGTAGCTTTATGAACGCTTTGCTTATCCTTCTAACTTTCTGTCGATTATTCCAATTTGTAGATCTTCCGTTTACGTTTGATAAAAAATAGAGATAGCACCTGTTTTTATGAAAGGCTATTTATGGAAAACAGATCCCAATTCATAAGGCTAGGACCGTCACGTACTCAATAACTACTTTTACCAATATTGGTTGTCTTTACGCTAGGCTGTTAAGTAAGACTAACTGCTAAGTTTTCCTTAACCAAAAATGCTTGCGTGAAGGCCTAAGTAAAATCTCAAGTAACTTTACTTTGCATCTCATTAAAGACGGGAAAGTTTCAAGTGACTTGAAAACCATCCTTAAAACCGACTGAACGGTTTCTTGAGCTTTGAGAAAGGCGAAGCATGTCAATCAGTCTTAATTATGTTGCGTGGGAAAATAGGCTTAAGTAAACCTGAAGTAAAAAAATAAGTTGTGTGTGAAGCTTTCTTTTACTTTAAGAATTTAAAATTTACTTGTCTTGAAATACCTCTTAGCTTATTTAGGCTCGAGTGTAAAGACCACCATTCTTTCATTATCTCTTTAGCCTGCCCATGACGCCTATCAATAGTTCTTCCTCATGTTCAGTTACCATGGCAACCTGTATCGCACATGCTAGTTATCTACTGTAAAAACTACTTAAGACTCATTAGCATATTAAACTGAGGAGGTTGTCATTTTTGCAGCTTGAACCAATGGGTTATATGTTTAAAAAAGTTTAATCGTTGTCAATGCCAGCATTTAATTTCTAAGGTACTCTAGTGATCACGAAATAACAAACTGGAAAAAAACTGGACGCACGTAGGCTTCCAGTAGCCACACAAACCTTGTGAACCGCCAGACAAACGAGAAAATGTGCTTTATTTTACTTAAGTTTTCTTACGTTGAAGAAAGCGGGATCCATCTGGGAGCGACATTTGTTTTAAACATTTAATCAAACGTGGAGCTCACATAAAAGTAAGCCGAAACCTGACACACAGTTACCACTGAACAAAGAATTACCGTTACGCAACATAACGATTTTCACAGCTTGAGACACCGAACAAAAACACTACACATGACTCAGTTATTTCCAAACATTTCGTTCTGAACTTTTATTGAAACATTTACGTTTAAATCCTGATATTTTCAGCATTTTGGAGTAAAGTGTAAACCACATGGCCACACAAACAGAGAGTGGTCTACCTGTTTGGCTAACTAAATAATAATACGGGTCCGACTCATCATCCGGAATTTTTCATCCAAAGCCGTCATCACACAGCTGCCTGATTGCTAAATCGTGGCTGCCATAGCAACGTAATGACTCCATTTCTTTATTTCACGACGGCTTTTGTGCCGATGACGTTCGATCAGGCCTTCTTCTTTCTTTTCCTTTTACTGCTTTCGGGGAAGCGCGAAGCCTGATCACAGGTTATCGCGTGGGTTGGTATTCATTTTGGAAAACAACAGATCGATGCGGCGCAATTTGCGTATGGACAACGGAAGGAAGGAAGGAAGGCTGATAATACAGTACCTACAGTCGGGAATATATATATTTTTTTGTTATGATATTTCGAAAGGCACGGCCTTTCGTCTGCAGGGTCTTACATACAAATGACGAGGTCAGCTAAATGAAGGATAGCGTTCACGATACTATAACAACGTGTCAAAATAAGAACTGAAGGAAATGGTGAACGTTGAAAGTATATGAACACGAAAACCGTTGAAGTCGTTATTCAAAATAAATTTGAAAGGTAAAAATAGTATAAATAAACACAAATGGAAGGAAGGCCAGTTACATTTCGTCTTTCTTATTCTAATACCCAAGGATTCATGAGTTTTTTCTCTCTCGATGAGGTATGCTCTTCTAGCTTTTCACATACTATTGGATTTAATGATTTCAAGTGGAATAAGTATAGTGTCGTTAGCGGATTGATCATTTATTTAGTAAGAAAATATTCTGAGACTATGGTGGGTTTGGAGATTTTAGTTGGGTTGAAGTGGCAGATCCAGACCTTCAGATAAGAGGGGGGCCCGATCATTTAAACCCTGAGATAAGAGGGTGGGACAGTCTCTAAAAAAAATTTTTTTCGGCCCTTCGGGCCTCAGTTTGGGCTAAAAATAAGGGGCTGCCCGGGCTCCCGGCCCCTCCCCTGGATCTGCCACTGGGTTGTCAGCTGGTCTGCGTTGTTCGTTGAAACGGTCTTTAAGTCGTCGTTTAGTTTCTCCAATGTATTAAGCAGCGGTTGCACTGCCGTACCATACGTAAGTTGGTCTCAACTTGGAATGCAAGGGCTTCGATATAAGTGACAATTAAACAACTATCTAACTGATGGAACTAAATTCTCAATAGTGCGGTTAACAATCTTTGAATTATCTCCTAAATTTCTTTGACACCCTTTAAGACTGTTCACGGCACTTTTATCTTGAACTCGACGATCGCCTTCCCTTTAAACCTGAAGAATTAAACATTCAAACACACCTAATAATAATAATAATTATTATAATGATGATAATAATAATAATAATAATAATAATAATAACTTTATTTCTATAGCGCTCTTATCCTATGTTCAAGGCGCTTTACAGTCATGTAAACAACATTATTGAAAAATATTTACAAATTTACAACCATATCCTAATATATTTACAATGGGTAAAAAACGAAAAAATTAAAACTAAAGCAACTATTAAACCATTTCATTCATAATGATAAAAAAAGGGAAAAATTAAAACTAACGCAATATATGCAAATCTATAAAAACAATGATCCGTTATTACTGAATTTAGTAAACCTAAATAATAGCACCTAAATAGTAAGAGAAAGACTTTGCAATGACTTAAACGCTATCTTTTAAGTGCTTCGTTCAGGTGCATTGCTGATGAAATTCAGTTCTATACTTGGCTAAGTTACAGCCTTTTGGTGAGTAACACCAACACAAAGTCCAAACAAGGCCTCTTAATCTCGGGCTGTGGTGCGTAAAAAAGAGGCAATTTTTCAAATTTATCGCCTCGACTTGATCGCGGATCCTTACATAATTGAAGCATATTTAGTAACTTACAAGAGCACATATGAAAAGGCATTTCGCTATCTCTACTGAATTAGTAATTAGTTATAAAAGCGACCACTGTTTGTGTAAGTACACAGGCAGTGGTCGCTTTTATAACTAATTACTGGAAGTAGTTGCACGAGCATGGTCACGGTATTGTTAAACAATTAAAAGATTTAAAGTTCTTAGATGATATCTGATATCCCCTGCTGTATAATCAGCCTTGCTTCTTTCAGCTGATGAAATTGTTTGATACCTCCTTCATAACTCTACAAGAGCATTTTGTGTATGGATAAAGGCACTACAAGTACCGGTAGTGACTTCAGCACAGAATTGAAGTAAAACAGCAATATGCTCTTAACCTAGACCCTGTGAAAGCGATTTTAACCTCCAGCATGACGGCCAATAGAGAGATTTAGAGTTACTTTTACGCCAAACGGCAAACGTGAATTTGTATAACGTGACCAAGTTTTCCCCTTAATTGCCCTTTACTGCA